TATTCTGGCCACCATTACCAAGCGATTCAGCTACAATCACTTCTTGCACTAGATCCCACGCTTCACTTAGAAATGAATCGAGTTTAATGAAAAGGTTCCAAAATGATTCTCTCCGCTCCTGATGTGTTTGCTGGTGTCTTCTTCCTCCACAGCCCATCCCAGCTGGTGTGTGCCACAGATGGTGCGCTACACCGTGGCCTTTTTCTGGCCACCATTACCAAGCGATTCAGCTACAATCACTTCTTGCACTAGATCCCACGCTTCACTTAGAAATGAATCGAGTTTAATGAAAAGGTTCCAAAATGATTCTCTCCGCTCCTGATGTGTTTGCTGGTGTCTTCTTCCTCCACAGCCCATCCCAGCTGGTGTGTGCCACAGATGGTGCGCTACACCGTGGCCTTTTTCCTGGTGGGATTCACTGTATCTCTGAGCCTGGCCTGGAGTCATTGCTGTTCCAATCCAGGTAATTAGCACTCTACAGGCCATGTCTGTGCGGGGACCTAGCGGCAGCCCTACTGATCACACCGTCACAACATTTGAAAACCGCTCTCCCCGTCCCTTCTATTTGTCCCATCTGAACATTTATTTCTCCCTACCCACCTGCAACACAGCAACTCTGCTGTAGAGAAGAGAGCTGAATTCAGCCCAGCCCAGTGCTTGGACCAGCTGTTGCAAATATGCACCGTAAGGAGAAATAAAAAACCTAGTTGCGGGTACTCTGGTAATCAGCTGGGCAGCATTGGAATCTCTCCTGAGCAGCGGCACAAGCACCCAGTTGACGGGGACCACTGCTCCCAGTGAAAAGGCAGGATAATCTGGGGGTGGGAATAAACTGATCTGAAAACAGCCAGTGAAGGATGAAGTAAATTTTTAATTTCCTCTAATGAGCCATTGGCTAGTTCTTCAAAGTGAGTGAGTTCAGGGTGTAGACCAGGGATGGATGAGAGTTTAGCGGGACCCGGGGGAGCGCAATTTCACGTATGCGCCACGGCCACAGTCAACAGGTAGTAGCGCATGCACGGGGCCTATTGAAGCGCGGGGCGTGGGGCAGCCGCCTCGCTTACCCTGCCCTATATCTGCCGCTGGTGCAGTCAGTTCCAATGTCCCTGTAACTCTAAGGCTGGATTTGTCCTTTTCAACCTGTTTTGGAAGTCGAGTCGAATAGCAAACGCTGCAGACTCAGAGGAGTTCACGGGTGCATTAAAAATGGTCTGAATCCTCAGCTCGTTTTTCAGCCAAGGGCTGAACATTCCAAGCAAGATCCCCGGGATGGGTTCTGTGCTCATCACGTGCCCTGTTGCCACAGAGGAATTTTCAATAAAATCTAACAATCTGTTTGAAATTGTAACTAGCTGTTGTGACGGTTTGGCTGTTTGGCCGCATGGGGAGGTGTCTAACGTTATTAAATGTTGTCAAACAGGGTCAAACCATTTACACCCAATTGGAGTTTGAGTAAAAGGCTCACGAGCAAGGAGCAGAGATGAGTGAAAGCGAAAAAGGGGAAGCTGTCGCTCTCAGGCGGATCCAAGCCTAGATGCTCACAGCTGTTTCACAGCTGATCTCAGTGACTGTAGCCAGCCAGTAAGGGGTTGACTGCCTGTAACGGCTGTTGGTTTCTTTTTACTGTAGCTTTCGGCTCTGCATGTGGCTCCCTTCTAAAAGGTAACTGAAAATTAACCCACTGGACCATGTAGACTTTCAACAGCAGGAAGTCAGATACAGACCCAGACCGACCCTTGAAGGTTGGGAGATTTCCTAGTGAGATATGCAGGCACCTTTGCCACATGTATGTGTGTTTATGGACAACGCCCACCCCTTTGAGGGCGTGTAGGGTCCCTCACAGCCGAAGCAGGTCCTAAGGGGCACAGGAGTGCAGGAGCCTGTGTGTGGCTTACACACTCCCTGTGCATCTCGGAGCTCGGCTCTCTGCTCAGTGTGACCCAGGTGAGGGGGAGGGGGCTGTCGGGGAGAGACTCTACCACCCTCCCCCCCATTCCTCTGGACAACAGCCCCTGAGGGGTTGGGGGCCAGGGCTACAGAGTCTGGTCCAGCCATGATGTCGGAACGGCAGCTGTGGAACGGTCCCACCACTGTTCTGTGAGCTGGGAGGGAGACTTTTGCTCCCTCTTCTCCCTCCCACAAATGTCCTGAGCTTGGTTCCTCCAGCTGGGGGCTGGTGAGAGCGGCTGGGGTGCTCAGGGCCTGCCTTACACACACAGGCAGGCACAGCAAACTCAGCCCCTCATACATGCAAATTCCTGCCCAGACCCTGCACCCCTCTCCCCCCCCCAGCCTCCTGCCTTGAACTCCCTCTTGCACTGCAAATTTCTTGACCGCAGCCGTAGCTCCCTGCACCCCAAAGGCCCCATCCCAACCCCACCGCAGAGACTGCACCCCCAATCAGAGCCCTCCCCAAACCTCCTGCCTCAATTCACAGCACCCTCCTGCACAATGATCTCATTTTTGGCCCCACCCTAGGGCCTGGAGTGACCCACAACATCTAGTAGCCCTGGCTCTGCATCAGAGTGAATTCCGTCCTGGAGAAGAGACGTAAATCTAAGTGTTGGGAGCAATTTTTAATGGTGATGTGACGTCCATTTTGATTCACCAACTCCATTTTGTGAAGCCTGCTTTGAAGTAAACAAGAACTGGCTCAAACTGGCTTTTCCTGCCAGAAGGACTAAAACTGACTTTTACCTCAGGAGTGTGCACAACCTGCTCCTGTCAATCATTCCATTTTCCCGCCATCAGATGAACAAAAGGCCTGCCCCCTGCAGGGACGGGGCTCACGCTCGCTGACACCAGAGAGAGTTGCTGTGGTGATTTCCACAACTTCCCACAGCAAAGGCTTGGGTTTGGTATCTGGGATACACCAGACCGTATCCTCAACTACCTTGAGAGCCATCAAGCAGCATCTCCATTGGATTTCAACATATCTGTGGGGAAGACCCAGAGGCCGTGTGTGGATCAGAGAAGCTGTGCCAGAAGACAGCAACGATTCCTCTCGCTCTCTGTGGCGAAGGCCCAGAGCAGCATTCAGGAACCGTATCCCAGACCTTGTCCTTTATCTAGTCATCATACATGGGACCACCCTAGAGCTCCTCCCTGAAGGCTTCCAAATAGCCGGATGGTCTGAGGTCCTAGGCGTCAGCTGTCCACAGTGACTACCATCTGAAATTATAATGTTTTATTTACCCTATTATTTCTTTTCTTTCCTTTTTGGCTGTGGGGAGGATTATTCTTATTGAAGCTGCTAATTGCTATTGTTTACTGTTGTATTATATGCTGTATGCCTTTCAATGTTTAATAGATGGGTTAACTTTATTTCGGAGTCTATTGTTATTTCAATTCGGCCCATAATCCGCTGGTGAGAGATACAGCATTGCCAGGGAACCTCACTTCTGGTGACAGGAACAATTAACATCCAACTAGATTCAAAATGAATCGTTATTGTTGCTGAGTTCCTGGGTAACATAATGCCCCATGGACCTGCAGGCAATGCACTAATGGCAGCTGGTGGAATGGAGGTGTCAGCCCAGACTGTAGTTCAGAGAAGTGGCGATGGTGCAAGCAAACTCACTTCCTTTCTTTGCACATAACAAGCAGGAGACTTACACACCTGTGGAATTCTCCCGGCCTGCCCTCCCACACACACACCTTTCCCTCCCTGTTTCCCACAGTTCAGACGTTCATTTCATGCCGCTTGGGTGCCCTGTGTTTACAGTGTTTAATAATAAAATTCATGTGTTTCACAGCAGTCTTTATTACACTACATGAAAGCAAGCAAGCGTACCCCAGCACAGCTACGGTCACGTAGCACTAAGCACAGTGCATGGACCAATGGGAGTAAACCCCTCCCAACGCAGCCACTGCACTCCCAGGAATAGCAACAAGTTTTACCAACTTTCAGCATCAAATTGATGCCTCAAGGCATCCCTGATCCTTACAGCCCTGCCCTGTGCTCCTTTAATAGCCCTGGTCTCAGGCTGTTCAAACCTGGCCTCGGGCACTGTGGCTCAGTGGTCCAGCCCTGAGTGAAGCTTCCCTTCCCAAATATTATGGAGGGTACAGCACACGGCTATAATCATAGGGATGTTGTCATTAGCAAGTCCAGCCTCCCATGCAAACATCGCCAGCGGGCTTTCAAACAGTGAAAAGCACATGCCACAGTCCTCCTGCACCTGCTCAGCCTGTATGGCTCCCTGTGTATGGTTTCATCAGCCACAGCATGAAGCGGTAGGCAAGGTCTCCAAGGATCACAGTGGGCATTTCCATTTGATCTTCTGGTCTGGGAGGAAAGTCCCCGCTTGCAGCTTCCCAAACAGGCCCATGTTCCGAAAGATGCACGTGCCATGCACCTTTCTGCAGCAGCCTGCATTAATGTTCCTGAAACACTCTCAGAAATCCACAAATGCCTGCAGAACCATGAAGAAATACCCCTTGGTTGCAGGAGCGGCTTGAGGCCGGCTGCGGCAGCTGGCGCCCCAGGCGGAGCGCACGATTGGCACCCCCACACACAGGGTGGTCAATGGCCTGATGTCGTTGGGGGCGCCGCGGGCACCCCCGTGACGTCATCATCGGGTGCCCCAGGTGGCGGTGCCTTAGGCGGCAGCCAAGTCCGCCTATAGCCACGGGCCACCCCTGCTTGGTTGTTCTCAGAGGTTGGATGGTCTGATGCCAGAAGTGGAATGGGTGTGTGATCTCTCGCCCCTCCGCAGCTTGGGAAGCCCATCCGTGCAAAGCCATCCACAGTTTCATGCACATTTCCGTCGGCATGAGTCTAACGGTCGACTTGCCCACTCCAAACTGATTGGCAACTGAGTGAAAGCTGTTTGGAGACGCCAGCCTCCACGGTGCGATCTCCACTTGCTTCTCCACTGGCAAGGCAGCTCTTACACATGGGTCCTTGCACCGCAGGGTGGGGGCACGCCTAGCACAGAGTCCCAAGAAAGTGACTTTCCTCCTCTGAAAGTTCTGCAGCCGCTGTGCATCCTCCCCGGCTTGCATGACGCTGGGATCCCACCATTCTGTGCTTGTTTCCCGAGCACCAAAGCAACATCCCACTGGGGGCCGTGAAGGTCACCAAAAAAATCTTTTGTTGTGCGAACGCCACATGGATGCCTCATCGTCACCTTGCAGCTTCAGGAACAACGCAACTGCCATTCGTGCCCTGTTAGTGAGACCTCGCGTCATTTTGACCAACAGCTGGGGATCCATTCCTGCAGACTGAGAAGGCAGAACACGCAGCACAAAAGCCGTTGAAAGATGGCGCCAAATGCGGACAGAAGTGCAGGGGTTGCTGGGATGCGCAGCAATGCACCATGGGGAATTTGGACAGGGCCCAGTAGGCCTTGCGCCTCCGCACAAACCTCTGTGTCATCAGAGGAAGTGCTGTGTGGGGCAGCTACCCAGAAAGTGCTGTGAGTGTGACCAAGCTAAGGTGCTGGTGGCTGAGAGTGTGAACACCCAACAGTAGTTCACTGCTGCGCTCCAAGAGCAGCATTGTAATGTCCAGTGCTTTCCATCCTCCGGTGTAAATGTGGCACGTGACTCTCACTTTCTCTTTCCTTTCTTTTTTTTTTTTCCTCTTCATCTCTTGTTTTAAAAAATACAAGCTACTTTTGTGAGATGGCAGCAGTTAAAAGGGAGCATTTCTGTTGTGTGTCAGAGTCGCGTATTCCGTCTGAAATAGAGAATGGAAAGATCTGCTTGTCACGTTATTGGATTTTAAGGGGAGCAGCCAGATCACTACTACATGCACAGGTGGAGGGGGTGTTTGCCCTAAAGTGTGTACAAAGGGGGCCATGTGAGGTGTCAAATGAAAGATTATGTTCTACTGATTCTATGTATGCTACTCGTGTACTTGTATGATGTCTATATGTGGAGTTATTATGAATATGGACTCTGTGCTGGTATTGTGAATGTTCTCTGCTGTAAGGAAGGAATGTCCAATAAATGACTATGCTAATTAGCACGGGCCCAATGACAATGGCTCTCAAGGTGGCCAAAACACACCTAAGGAATGCATCTGGAAGCCTGCAGACCAGTCAGTATCTAATGGCGGCTGCCAGCATGTGAAACAGACAGATCACTTGACCTTATGACCAGCTCCGGTTTGGGAGACACCAGAGATATATAAATGCCATGAGGCGGACTCCATCTTGTCCTTAATCTTGCTACTGATCCCAGATGCAGCCTTGCGAGGGACAGAGAGCCGTGAAGCAGGGGCAGATGACCGTTTTGCGGGGCCCCGGGCAGCGTAATTTTGCAGGACCCCCCCTTTGCCACGGCTCATGTGCAGTGACGCCATGCGCATGCGTGGGGCTTTTTAAAGCGCGGGGCCCGGGGCCGCTGCCCCGTTCGCCCTGCCCTATATCCGCCCCTGCCGTGAAGGATTGCTGACCCATCCTGACATGGGATGTACACCAGAGACTTCTAAGCGAGCAGTCTGTAACATCTCTGCTAAGAATCTGCATCAAGAACCTGGTGATTGGTGCATGTAATCTCCTAAACAACCTTACTCTCATCCTTTTCTTTCTTTTGTTAATAACCATTTAGATTGTAGATTCTAAAGGATTGTCTCAGCGTGCTCTTGTGGGTAAGATCTAAAGTGTAAATTGACTGGGAATCTGTGGCTGGTTCTTTGTGACCAGGAGAACCGATTCGGGGTAGGTGAGATTGGGTTCTATAACCCCTCACCTGTGTGTAAGGCCCAGGGCTGATTGTGGCACAGGGAGAGCTGGAGTGTCTGAGGGGTTTTGCTCATGAGGCTTCCTGCTGGCCAGATGGGCAGCTGGAGAGCTTGGTGTGACTGGTTTGTGGCCTGTTTGGGGAAGGTCTCCAGTCTAGGGCTGTAAGCAGCCCTGGTTTTGAGCAATTCGCCCTGAGCGGATGCCCTCAGCAGTGCCCAGACCTGGCCCGGTCTGTCACTGGTGTTATGAAAAAATTCCAGCATTAGAGAAGAATTCAAGGTATATCAGATCTGTGGAGCAGAGTTCTCTTTGTCCCCCTCTGTTGTCTTTTGTCCTGGGTGCCAGGTGTCATTTGGTGGTGTGTGATATGCCAACAGCCCTACACAACACTGCTGCTAGAAGAACAAAGGAAACCTCAGAGAATTTAGGAGGCATGGTGTGGACACGAGGGTTGGACACTGGCCAGGACTTTGGTTCTATTCCCCTGTGGTTAAAATGCTGTAGCTTACTGATGTGACAGATGCTGAAAACCAACTTACCTGCGGTACCTGCCTCATCGGTATGGGGTTCTCTCTTGGGACAGCTCTTCCTGAGGGATGAAACAGACAAAGGTACAGTTACAGGGATGTGTGGTGAGTGACTGTTTTACAGGAGAGAGAGTTTTGACTTAGTTACCTCTGGTCAGGCGCTTTCTCCAGAGCAAGATCAAGAGCTGGATCAGGAGCAGGATGAAAATACAGGGCAACCCAGCGTAGAACACAATCCTACAGTCTGCTGCAGAGAGAAGAGAGACCGAGAAGAGAAAACATGGGCTGCTGTTCTCTATGTCCCATGCAACACCATGAGCTAAGGGAGGTCTTTTCCCCAAAGCACCACACCTGTTGTTCGGTGGTCCGGGGCAGTGGTTCTGAAGCCAGGGTATAAGTACCCATAGGGGTAAATCAACTCATCTAGCTATTTGCCGAGTTTTACCGCAGGCTAAATAAAAACGTTCGCAAAGTCAGTTCAAAGTGAAATTTCATACAGAGAGCAACATGGTAAAACAACGCTCTACAGCAAGGCTACTCAACACGCAGCTTGTGGGCTGCATGCAGTCTGTTTGTTTGTGGCCCGGGGTACAGTTTGGGTTTACACAGGGCTCAACACGTGGCCCATGGTAGGGGCCCAAACAAAAATGGTAGCCAATAGAATGGTCTTCTGTAGATACTCGTTTTAGTAGTTAAATTCCTGGACTGTCATTGCTCATTAAAAGTGCTATCATATGGGTGGAAATCAGGTAAATATTGCATTTTATTAATATCAGCAGAACTGACTTTTTAAATGGGGCCTGCGTGTTGTGTAGTCTTGCCTTAATCTTTGTCTTCATGCCCGTCAGCGTGAAAGATGCTAGTTGCATAAATTTGCATATATATTTGCATGAATATGCAATCACACTTAAGTTGCAACCCTTGGCATGTAATGTGAGTATCATGTGGCCCCTGGGGCTTCCAAAGTGAAGTAGCCCTGCTCTACAGGATGAACTGAAGTGTAAGTCCAGTGTGTATATCCCGATTGATTTCTCATTCTCTGGTAAAGTGAGCAAGTCAGCCACTACTCAGTAGCAGAGCAGAGCAACACTTGGGTATGTTTCTCTGTGATCGTGTGAGCAGGGCGTTTTAAGGGAGGTGTAACTCGGGGCTGCGTGAGAGAAATCCGGCTCCTGAGAGGGGCCTGGTGTTATGGGAAGATTGAGAGTCACTGCTCCGTGGCAGGCTGGCTGGCTGTATGTGGAGGGCAAGGAGCCTGAGAAAACCAGGGAGAGGGACCTTGCAAAGCAATCTCTCGTGGGTATTGTGTCTCTTCTCTGCCTCCCGCCCCCCAGGAGTCCTGTCGGGGCGAATCTTCAAGTTCCATGGTCAGATCACAGGTGGGTTCTCTTTCCCAGCACAAATGTGTGTAAATGCCGGGGCAATTAGGCAGCGACCCAGGCTTTGGGAAGGCTGGACAGGCCTGTCTTGTGGTCTTGACGGGCTCATCTGCACAAAAATGTTGCCCCTGTCACTTTGCCGGCACAGCTTCTCCTGATTGAGGAACTGGAATTGGCGGGGCCGGCGTAAGGCCCTTTCCTACCAGGGTCATCCGCGCCGAGGCTGTTCCTGGCATAACTACGTCATCAACAGTTCACAGCACAGCCCCGCGAGATCCCCTGGAACTGCTGAGCCCAGCCCTAATGCTTCCAGCCTGCCCGGGCCATTGTCCCATGGAGCCATTTCAGCCTGAGACACCCTGGTCCTGCCATGGCTGCGATAGGATCAAGTTATTTACAAGGGGTGGCTTGGACTCCTAGCAGCCAGCGATGGAGACGACCCTGTTCCACTGGGTGCCCTCTAGCTCCCCCCAACCCCTTCAGGGTTGTTCCCTGCGTGATAGTCACTAGTGCTTTGTCCAGTCCCCTTTCTAAGGTCTTCCTACCTGCACCAGGGCCTCTACTTCCTTATCTGTTAGCTAGTTCTGCCCTTCGGCTCTCCCTAATTGACCCTTCTAGGGCCTGGCTGTGCTCCCTTGGAGGGGAAGGTTTGGGCTGCTTGACCAGACACCCACGTCTCATGCCTGGGGGTTGGAATGTAAAGGTTTATAGATCTGGGGCGGGGAGGTGGATGATGAGGAAGGAACCAGAACTGCCCCACCCTTCAAGCCCCCTCTCTATGGCTTCCCAACCTCCCCTCACTCCCATCAGTTCCCCTTCACCTGAGCTGTTCATTTTTCTAGCCTAGAGTGGCTGTCGCTGACACGTGGTGCCCAGGTGCCACTGTGAGGGGCGTAGGATAAGTGCCCAGGAAGGAAGGTGAGGTTGGATGACACGATACTGGACCTGTTTCCTTGGTGACGGTAGCGCTGATGTTTCTCCCTGTGCCATTCTCCTTGGCTGTACAAGTGCAGTTCATCCCCTCCCAGGCCGCTCTCCTTGGCTGTACACGTGCAGCTCGTCCCCTGGTTCCACCACTTGGACAGGATTGTCGTTAGGCTCCAGACGCTGAAGACCCCATCCCCGTCTATGGCTCCGGCATCCATCTGGCCCTCCGACGCCTCCTCCCCGGTGTCCCAGAGAATGCTCCAGGGGGGAGCGAAATCCGAGAGAAGGCAAAGAAGAGGCACGTCATGGAAAAGCTCAGCATCTCCCAGGTCGGAGGGCACCAGGACGGAAAGTCTCGGCTCGGCGGCATCTAAAAGAGAGTTTGGTTTGGTACACAACACAAAGGAAAGGCTAGTCAGTCTGGGGCTGAGTATACCAGACCAGGAGTCAGGTCCCATGAGATTTAGTCCCAGCCCTGCCTTGCAGTGTGACCTTGGGGAGACATTCACCTCCCCTGCATCTGTGCCTCAGTTTCTCCAGCTGCAAAATGAGGGAAATGATCATTGCAAGGTACCTTGAGCTCTAGTTATGGATTCTTCCTGGTTGAGGAGCCATTCTGGCTTCGTCTCAGAGGGGAAGCGAAGTTAGTCAGTCTCTGAAAAAACAACGAGGAGTCCTATAGCACCTTACAGAGCGACTGATTTATTGGGGCACCAGCATTCCTGGGTAAAAACCACTTTGTCAGCTGCATGTAGTGGCAATCCCAGCGTTAGGGATATATATACACACATACCACTGCCATACCAAGGGAAGCATATGCTAGTAGATACACACACACACACTACCTGTTAGAGGAGTTACCTGGCGTAGCTGGGGTACTTGTGAGGACTCAGCACAGAAATGGGGGAGGTGCAGGTGTCAGGGGAGGGAACTGGATTGGGTTGGAGGAAGTCGGCACCAGCTAGCTACTCTGTTCCCAGTGGGGTCATTCGACAGCGTGACCATTGCTGCCAGCAGACCTGTCCCTTCCCATTTGATTAGAAACAATCCCATTCCAGGCCCCGCACCTTGTTCTGGCGCAACCAAACCTTGCCCTTGCTTCAATTTAAAGCTGCCTATCAAATTTGGTGGTCCTACTGCTTACCATTTAGGAGCAGTTCTTGAACACGCACACGCACGCACACACACACTTAACTATATACAGTACATATATTTTTCTTACACATATATTTGTATGTATATAGCTCTCTACCAGCACCGGCCCGAGCCATTTTTGCACCCCGGGCAGTGGGCGCACGGTGCAGGTGTGGCCCCGCCCCCGGGCGCACAGCACCCCTTACAACTGCAATCAGGCGCCCTCCATAGGTTGGCGCCCTGGACAGCTGCCTGGCTAGCCCCCCCTTAATCCAGCCCTGCTCTCTACCCCTGTGATTTCCTCTCCATGCATCTGATGAAGTGGTTTTTACCCACAAAAGCTTGTGCCCAGATAGATTCGTTATTCAATACGGTGCTATGGGACTCCTCGCTCTTTCTGCAGTCTTACTGACGCAGACCAGTCAAGCTAAATTGCCCTTTTCCATTCATCCCATAGATCTGAGGCACAGCCCCTAGTAGCTCCTGTAAGAAGGCCCGACCTTTCTTTTGTATGTGCACTGGTTGGAATTGTGAGGAAGTGGGGCGTTTGGGGGGCAGCAAAGGGGAGTTGCATGCAGAGGGGGGCACTCAGTGTCCCGGGATGTTACTGGTTTAATGTGACGAGGGGACACACTCAGTTCTGGCCAAAGGGAGGCCAAAGGGCTGCAGAGAGGAGACTTTGGAGACCTGCCCAGCTGTTTCTAGCCAGGAGAGAACAATGGATGGAAGAGGGGAGAGAAGAAGAGAGGGACCTAGACAACCTGGTTACCGGGATAGAAGACAATGAACAGGGGAGGGGCTGTTGTAGGGGATAGTGGAGGCTCTTTTGGAAGAACAGGACTTTGAATCTGGACAGAGGGGGAACAGGCAGAGCCCCCCGGGCTGCAGGGCAGGGATGAGCTGGGCTGAGGGGGGGCCAGGCCCACAGGCCTGAGGGATCCTTTGCTGCATTCAAAGCTCAATAACCCCCCCTGCTTGATGCTGGCTGAGTCGCTCTGGTCTGGAGAGCAGGGCTGCACTAGTCCCTCTGGGCATGGTGGGCCCGGGGGTCCAGAGGGAGTGGACCCCCCTCAGGAGCTCACAGCAGAGTGGGCGGCTGACGACCCTGAGAGGCGCCGGCCTGGAGGCGGGGGGCAGACCCCCCCAGGTGAGAGTGGGCTCCCCGAGAAGGGGCTGCCGCACTGGAGGGGGGGGTTCTGCCCAGGGACCGCGTGGGCAGGACCGGTGAGTCATGACAGGTATACACACACACACCGCGTGGGTCAAAACCACAGAGCTGTGCCTAGAGGTACGTTAAATTCGCCCCTGCATGTTGTACTCCGCCTCTTCAGACATTGACTGTTCGCCTGTGTGCACGGGGGGTGGGTGGAATCAATTAGCAGAGGTTGGGTGAATTCCGGCAAAAAGAGACCGATTCACAATGAAGTCTGAAGAGGCTAGCGGGGCAGATACCCCACCTCCGAGGCTCAGGCAGCTTCGGTAAAACGATGGGGAAGAGGGACTAGCAAATCTGACTTCTACGTAGCTACGAAAAGGCAGGGGAATAACACTTCGCAGCGACACTGCGCTTTCCCATAGACCTCGGAGTGTTTTCCCACAGGGGCACCATTAGCCCCATGGTACAGCTGAGGAATCTGAGATGGAGAGACATGACAGGTCACCTCTTCATGAGAACTTAAGAGCGGCCACACTGGATCAGACCAAAGACCCATCTAGCCCAGTGTCCTGTCTGCCGACAGCGGCCAATGCCAGGCGCCCCAGAGGGAATGAACAGAACAGGCAATCAGCAAGTGATTCCTCCCCTGGCGCCCATTCCCAGCCTCTGACATAGGCTGGGGACACTGTTCCTACCCATCCTGGCTAACAGCCATTGATGGACCTAACCCCCATGAATCTATCTAGCTCTTTTTTGAACCCTACTGGGTCACTGCCTGGAACACACTGCCTTCTCCCACAAATACCTACAGCTGAACACTGAAATGGAGATCAGTCACAGCCGTGCAAAACCAGGTAAGTTTTCCATAGCACCCCCTAGCATTGATACACAATTATTTGGACGCATTAGAAACTTACCTGTGACAATTAGCCTGGTCCCATTCCCAAAGTCGGGGTGTATATAGGCATTAAGGCCACAGAAATACACCCCGGAGTCATCTCTTTGTACGTTGCTGATCATCAGAGAAAACCTGTTTGCTGAAATGTTCACTGTACTTGAGTATCTTCCATCTGACATTTCAATCCTTTGCAAACTTCCACTCGGCTGTTCCTTGTACCACAGAGCTCTCTGTCCTTGTAGGGAATGGCTACAATCCAGCTGTGCCTTCTGTCCAGGAGTCAGCCACATCTGGCCTGGACTTTGCTGAATTTGTATCCCTTCTTCTGAGGGAGCTACTGTGCAGGAGAAGAAAAGAGGGTGTTAATAGTGAGCACTGGAAAAGGTTCGGCTTTTGCGACACATTAGACAGAGTAGGTCATTGGAGAACAACAAGATGTACGTCTCCCTTAAAAAATTACTTTAAGTTGTCTCTGCTTCTAGTCAAAATCTGTGTTGGCATCCATGTAGCCTGTGCAGGAATTAATATAATGTAACAGCAGAAACACATCTCCGGGTGGAAGACTTTCAGTTCCTTTCCCTAATCACCCAACTATGCATTCCCACTCAAGCGTGATCAAATCAACGGTAACAAACGTCACTTAATTGTAAATGGGAGCCTTTTAACAACTTGTATTTCAAATTCTCTTTGCTCAGTCTGCAGAAAAATACCTCAGCCCCTATATAATACATCAGCAAGAGGGAAGAGGAAATTTTTCACCCCAATTCAGGATATTAACCAGAAACTATTTTCAAGGTATAAACTATTTCATCACCTCTCTTAATACAAGACGTGATTTTCTCTTTCAGCAGATAAATATTAGTTAGAACTTTTTGGAACTGCAGAAGGTCCTGGAGCAGAAAGTTAACAAGTTTTAGTGTGGTGGAAAACAAGCATAAAATAAATCAGTCTTAAAATACTTACTGTGCAGATAGACTAGAATCATCCCAACTACCTGATGAGACATCTTGTGCCTTTCTTCAGTGAAGAATAGGTGGTGTCTGTCTCACAGCACCTGCTAGCTAATGGATTTCTTGATGAAAGACTTTGTCACGTGGAGAGGAAAATGTTCAATTTCCTCTTAAAGACCTATCGGGCAACATGCACGACAACAGAAGAGGGCCAAGATGTATTAATAACCCCACTCAAATCTTACTCTTAGTGCCAGCCGCGCAATCCTGGGAGGGGGAAAATTCCTTTGCTGCTAAAGTATGTCTACACTACAGAGTCTACACTGCAGAGTTTTGTCAGGAAAACGGCCATTTTTCCGACGAAACTTGAGGAACGTCCACACTGCAATTGCATTCTTCCGCAAGAAAATCGAAAGAATGGAGGGGGTTTTCCGGCATTGGTAATCCTCTTTCTAGGAGAAAGAAGCCTTTTTTTTTAATGAAAGAGCTCTTTCACAAAAAGGCATGTGGATGGGGAAGAAGAAGTTCTTTTGGAAGAAGAGGAAAAAGGAAAAAGCACAGGTGCCCTGGCGGCCACTCCATCCATAGCACTCACAGCTTACATGTGAGAAAAAGTCCATTCAGTCTGGACGCTCTCTTTTGAAAAAGCAGATCGCTTTTTCCATGTGCTTTTGCAGTGTGGACACTCTCCTCCAGAAGAAGTTTTTTCGAAAGATCTCTTCTGAAAAAAAGCTTCTTCCGAAAGAAGCCTACAGTCTAGACAGAGTCTTAGAGAAGAAACTCAAGGTCAGAGGGAGTAACAGCGTGGTGTGTATCTCAGGTGGAATATTTGTGTTAGTCTTGTTTTGGGCATCCAATTATTTGTTATGACTGCAGATGAGGTAAAATATTTTCTGTGCTTCAGGGATTTATAAGGTCAAATAGTATTAGCATCAATAAAATGGCAATAAACTCTCACTGAGGTATATGCAACCTGTGTTAAAATTGTGATTTATCACTTTAAATGTCAAGGGGTTTTCCTGGTCCTACTTCCTGTCTGCAGGGAAATGTGCAATTTGGGCCTAGCTACAGCCAGTCTGGAAAGCGCTAGCCTAGAACAATGTGTGGGGAAAATCTGTCTCTCTCTTTTAAGGAGCAGCTTTGCCATTCTGTTTTTGGCTACTTTTTGTCATTGTTCTGTATTCTAAGAATAGAAGTCCTATTAAGCTATAGCCTCCCAGCATGCGAATATGGGGTTTTTTATCTAGCTTTTCTATTTGTAGCTTGTCAACACAGCAGCCACCAAGAGGTATATTACATGATTTAAGCAAAGGATTTACGTAAACCAACCAACAGATTCGTTGGGCACCGAAGAAGTGGGGGGTTAGCAAACAGAAAATTTGGCTTGAGCATTTAATTATTAGTTCAGACCAAGGAAGAGAGTGGGGTGTGGCCCAGTGGGAAAGGAATTGATGATTAGAATATGAAAGTATGATGGTGTCTCTCCACTTGGGAAAAATTAGGTCTAAATTGTTGTTTAGGACACTGATTTCAGAGAAGGGCAAGATTCGTGCTCTGTAGTGTAATGTGTTTGTAGAGAGAACACAGTGAAATGTAATGCCCAGGGAGACATTCTAAAGCCGTGATGGGCAGCCTGCCACCTTCAGGCTGCATGCAGCCCAGCCAGGTCCTCTGTGCGGCTCACGAGATATTTTGTTTCCCGTTGCCCACGTGCAGAGTTACCAGTTTCTGTTGGTTTCCGTCCACATTGGTTTTTTCCTAGTGCATGTAAAACAAGGGGCTGTGCAGGGAGGTGGGGGTGGATTGCAATCACAGTGCGGCCATGGTTCCGTCAGCACAGTCTGCAAGATCTAGTTATGCAAGCGCCACGAGCAAAAAACTACCCGATGCCGGGAGACCGTCTTGGTTCCAACAATCTTGCGGCCCGCTGAGATGAAGAAGGCTGCTCATGCAGCCGCTCACTAGCCTCAGCTCCTTTGCACTGTTTTAAATACACCCCTTGTAAACAGCCTTCACTGAGGCAGCCTGGAATCAGGTAATGCGTTATGTGGATGTTACCTGGGATTTGGTTGGCCAGATACATTGGGCATCCAAATTGCCCTTTCAAGCCTCCACCTTAATAAAATCCTTCATCCTCTGCTGAGCCCACTCTCCCATCATCCCATGGCCAGGGCTCAACAAACTATGTAATCTACTCGCCTGTGGAAGAGCCGGGTTCGGGCGATCTGTGCATGCGCAGATCGCCGGACAGCGTGGCTGGTGAGCGGGGCTCGCCGCGGCTCAGTGAGCCCTGCATATGGCCATTATCGGGCCACATGGAATCTGGCGCAGCCTAGTGGCTGCTCTAAGCTGCCCCGGTGGGTTGTGTCCCCGGAACGATGTCACTCAACTCAGTGTCGTTTGAGGTGCGTAAAATGCAGAAGCAGAAACTTCACCCTTTGGGGGCAAGTGACAGCGTTTGAGTTGCCCTGGACTCTGGAAAAATTCAGTCCCATGGAGTTTGTCTCATTTGTGAAGCAAGCCATAGTATGAGCATTCAGCAGCCACCTACAGTCCTCCAACGGCCAGATACATAACTAGTGTCAATCCGCGCTGGGCCATTGGTGTCAGTGGCGTGATGCTGATTTACACCAGCTGAGAATCTGGCCCCAAATTAGTGTTCAGTATCATGTTGACAAGAAATAAAAGGCAGGGGTGGATAAAATACTGAAGCAACAGGGAGCTGCGTTACCCCTCGTGGCTATTTTTCCAGGGTTCTTCGGCCATGGCTGGGGCCACATTTTCACCAGGGTCCAGTGCTCATTCAGGGCACGTCTACACTGCATCTGGGAGGGGAGGTGCTGACACGGGTACATTGTCAGATTGTGCCGTGGTTACAGTGGAACAGGTGGCAGTTCAGGCTGACTTCCCAAGTGCAACTGGGTCCAACCTCCCAGATTCTGGGAACTGATCCACCGCCCAAGTTGTTGTACCTGCACTGGTTTGTACCACAGTAGTTTGAGCAGAGCTAGCACACATCTATCTACTCGGTCTGGGAACTACCTTGCCAGCTGCCGTGGAGACCTACCCTTTGGCACCTAAAGATGGGCCAGATTTTTACGTGTGCTTGGTACATTAGGCACCCACTGGGTGGTGACCTTTTGGGAATCCAGCCACATGTGGCCAGTGGGGGCTACTAGGGGCTGAGCACACAGGAAAATTATGCCATTCGATAAGTGTCTCTGTTAAGGCTGTTCCCCACTCTGGCACGCCGAGTGCAGAAGGTGGGGCCCGTAAGAGACCTTAAATAGGTCACAGATTTCCTGCCCTTGGAGATAGGCTGCCACCATCAAGTGTAAAAAAAAAAAACAACAACCTTCTTTTTAGACCCAGAAAGAAGCACTTGAAGTTCTTCCAGGGGGTACCCCCTTAAGCTTTTTTACTACAAGAGAGCATGAGAAAAACAGTTAAAAAAAAAATCTCTGATAGTTGACCTTAGTCTTAGGCAGGCACACACAGACCCCCTGCTACTTCCCAGGACACAAGCATCAAATCATCACCTTAAAAAAGATGGTTTTATTAACAGAAAAAAAAAGATACACTTAATAAAGCATACTTGGTTGCTAGGTGTTACAGCGCAACTGAGAAAAACCAATTAAAACACAGAGAACATAGTATCTCTGGGTACAGCTTAGATACAGTGAATGGGGGGGCACATAGATTTTACACAGAGAAGCTTACGCAAACAACCAAAGAAAATAGCCAGATTGCAATTAAATATACATTTTTCCCTGTTTACTCATGATCCACTTCTTGGTCCAGTCCACGTCCATGTTCAGTATTCCTTGTAGGCATGGTAGTCCTGCCTGGGTTAATTCATCTTTTCCCCCCAGCTCCTGGCTTAAACACTTACAAAGAGACAGCAAGCAGGCATATCTTTTCAGTTCAAATGTCAGCACTGTATCCCATTGGTTCTTCTGGCTCCCTGCCAACATGCCCCAGCTACCTGAGTTCAACCCTTTAATCACCAACTGCTGGCCCGGACTTCTCCTATCCACCGCAGCCTCAGTGGGAGCTGGGCTCTTTAAAACTATGGTGTGTGTGTGTGTGGGTGTGTGATTGGGTGTGAGATCTCTTGGGAAAATCATTTGCAAGAGGCAGCAGATAGAAGGGCAATTTACAAAAGCACACCTTTAACTAGTGTTGTATGCACTTGTCTGACCCATCCAAAAGCCCTGGTATTTCCCATTTCTGCTCGAGTTGTTCTTCTGTGTTGGACTGTCTCACACCTATTCTATGTGGTGCCATACACTAATTTTGTTATACAGATTGATCCTCTCTAGTCCAGCATCCCTGAGACCTGAGCGGTGCTGAACCAGAGGATTTGCTGGACCACAGGAGGTGAACATTGCCTACCAGCATTACCAACACTTCCACCTCTTGCTGGGCTCTTCAAAGACATTTAGGGGTAAATCAGAGCTTGTGATAGACCTGGCTGGCTCTGGGCACAACTGAGGGCGGCCGCTCAGGGCAAATTGCTCAGACTCAGGGCTCCTTACAGCCCCAGACTGGAGACCTTCCCAAATAGGCCACAAACCAGTCACACTGAACGATCCAGCTGCCCATCTGGCCAGCCAGAAGCCTCACGAGCAAAACCCCTCTGACATCCCGGCTCTTCTTGTGCCCCAATCAGCCCTGGGCCTAACACACAGGTGAGGGGTTATAGAACCCAATCTCACCTACCTCAAATGGGTTCTTCCGGTCCCAAGAAACCAGCTGCAGTTCCCAGGTCAATTTACACTCTGGATCTTACCCACAAGAGCACGCTGAGCCAATCCTTTAGAATCTACAATGTAAAGGTTTATTACTAAAGGAAAGAAAAGCATGAGAGTAAGGTTGTTAAAGAAAATACATTACATGCATCGAATCACCCAGTTCTCGATACAGGCTCTTAGTAGAGATGTTATAAACTGCTATTTTAAAAGTCTCTGGTGTACATCCTATGTCAGGATGGGGCCACGGTTCTTCCCGGCTTGTTGCAGGATGGGTCCACGGTTCTTCCCGGCTTGTTGTTCCCTGCAAGGCTGCATCTGGGATCAGGAGCTGAACTCAAGACCAGTTGGAGGGTGCCACATGGCACTTATATACTCCCCTCCCCCGGCATCTTCCTGGCCAGAGAAGGTCACATGGTCCAACGATCTATCCCTGTGTCCCATGCTGGCAGCTCTTTGGCCCTGACTGGTTTGCAGGTATCAGTCACATTGCTGGGGTGTGTATTGGCACCTAGAGCTTCATTGTCTCCTTGCTAATTAGCATAGCCATTAACTGAGCATTCTGTGCCCCTTGCTCAGCCATAGACAGAAAATTTCCAGCATCAACACAGAGTACGTATTTATGACTCCACACACAGATATCTTACACGTACATGAATAGCATATACAGAATCAGTAGAACATAAGCTCTCATTCGACACCTCACATGGCCCCCTTTGTACCAACTTTTGGGGCAAACACCCCCCTCCCCTCCATGGGTGCAGCAGTGACCTGTCTGATCCCCTTAAAATCCAGTAACGTGACAGAGCTAAAGAACAGCCCAGAACTCTGAGAGCCAGGACTGGGGGCTGTCAACAAACTTTACTGGACTGCGGGAAACTTAGCCACACCCATGGTAAGTGGACATCTGGCTAAGTAAAATCACATCAGACCACGGATATTGCCAGATTAGAGAAGTTCAGCCTCCACTGAATTGTTCTATTATACCAGAGTTTGACTCCAACTCAGTAACAGGCAACAAGAAATAGCTTGTTCCAAGCAAGTTCTTTCAGAAACCTCCGTGAGAGGCATCTGTCACTACAGCACATTCCCCCCACCTCCGCTGGAGGCGTTCCTCAGCAGAACCGACCACGATGCCAGACCATTTGCACTCAAGCAGCATCACCAGATGGGAGCTTTTCGATTTCATCTTTCAGGGTATTGTTGGTAACAACCATGCTGTTCGCCAGATATCTGCTTTGGTCTTCCATGGGTAAAGCTTTTGCTTTTGTTCCATTTTCAATAAGACGTTGACTTTAATGATATCCAGTAGCTTAGGACTGTTCAGCTGCAGTTTTGATGCTCATCCATGTACTTTTGCGCAGATCAATTGGATTGCATTTGTTCTAATTGTGGAGAAGCCAGTTTATTGGGGGCCAGTGAAGATCTGCTGGAGGCTGACTCTAATAACGCGCCCTGTTTTATTCTGCAGTGGTACAAGTGCAGCTATTTCTGCACCAGCCTCAGCCGTTCCTCTTCGTGCACATGAACGATATAGCCGAGATCCAGTGCTCTTCCCAAAATAAATTTTTAGGAGGCGGCGTTACAGTTCAATGGTACAGGAGGCGTAGCCGAGATCCAGTACTCTTCCCAAAATAAATTTTTAGGAGGCGGCGTTACAGTTCAATGGTACAGGAGGCGAGACACCGGGGCACCCATGTTAATTAAGAGATGCGCAGATAAGCAAAATGTAAGTAAAGCTGCTTGCATAGCTGAAGGAGACACCGTGACACTGAAAATCTACAATGTCCAAAGGGATGACTCCGGGGTTTATTATTGCGCCGATTCGTACGTCAGCTTCTTGGAGTTTGGCAACGGATCCACCCTGGTTGTTGGAGGTAAGGATGCAGAACTGGGTGTGCAGAAAAGAAATGGTGGGGCAATGCAGGCTGATTTCATGTGCGCAGGAACATGTTAAATGGTGGTGTCACAGTTATCAGAGGTATTAGAGGTCTATAAAATCGTGAGTGGTGCGGAGAAAGTAAATAAGGAAAAGTTATTTATTTGTTCCCATAATAAAAGAACTACTGGGCACCAAATGAAATTAATGGGCAGCAGGTTTAAAACAAACAAAAGGAAGTTCTTTTTCACACCGTGCACAGTCAACTTGTGGAACTCCTTGCCTGAGGAGATTGTGAAGGCTAGGACTGTAACAGGGTTTAAAAAAGAGCTAGATACATTCATAGAGGTTAAGTCCATTAATGGCTATTAGCTAGGATGGGTAAGGAATGGTGTCCCTAGCCTCTTTTTGTCAGAGGGTGGAGATGGATGGCAGGAGAGAGATCGCTTGAGCATTACTTGTTCTGTTCACTCCCTCTGGGGCACCTGGCATTGGCCACTGGAGGCAGACAGGATACTGGGCTGGATGGATTTTTGGTCTGACCCAGTCTGGCCGTTCTTATCAAGGATCCCATTGTTAAAACAGAGCCGCTTTGAAATCTATAAGGAGCGAATACACCATCACTCATCTCAAAGAATAGAACATCTATTTTTGCACAATGGAAAATCAACCCTGGAAAAATTTGAAACCTCAGAATCATGTGTGAATAAACAACGTCTTGGCATTAAGAGGTGTTCTTAGAACTACCCCAGTGTCTAGGTTAGCACGGAGTTTCCCTTCTGCAAATGTGGGTTTGGGTTTGGCTGGCTATCATTCCGTTTTATTCTTCACATTTTCCCTTTTTGCTGCTTCATCTTCTGCCATTAACCGTTAACTCCAGCTGTGGCTCAGCTGCGCGTCACACTAAACTCTCTGCTTTATTCTGTCCAGACAGCTACACCTCCAACACTTGGGTGCTGTCTCTGGCTCCGTCTCCCGGCAGCCTCCTCGCCAACAGGACGGCTCATCTGGCCTGCGTGGTCCTCGGAGTCTCCAACCTCGTCCAAATCTCCTGGAATATTTCTGGGGAGCTGCAGGAGCTAAGGGTCCCATGGACACTGAAAGCAAAGGACGGCTCCTTCGTGTTCATAAATCACATCAGCGTCCCCCTGGACACCTGGGCCAGCGGGAAGATTTTCACCTGTGACGTCAAATTCAACTCCTCTGGCAGGAGCGTGAAGAGAATTGCCAGGTACCCGGAAGGTGAGTGGTGTTATACTTGAGACTAAAGGAAATGAAGACGCAATATGTATGTGAAGTGGCCGCCCTGGGAGCGACCTCGGTGTAATCTGCCATCACAAAAAGCTGGAATCATTTATATCATAATTAAAAGGAAGCAGATTTGCGGAGCATTTGGGGAAACCACAAAAGGGACCCTAAGACAATGTGGCTCTGATTTCTAGGGCAGCTTTCACCAGGCAGCGCTGGCAAGAACTCAGTAAGGATAACTATGGGGGAGAGGGGAATTAGGAGCCAGGACTGGATATAAAATCCAAAGGGTTTAATGAAAACGTGCAGGCAAGATTCTCTCAGCTCCTGACGTGTTTGCTGGTGTCTGCTTCCTCCACAGTCCCTCCCAGCTGGTGTCTGCCACAGACGGTGTGCTACGCCGTGGCAGCTTTCCTGGTGGGGTTGATGCTGTCTCTGAGCCTGGCCTGGAGATACGGCTCTTCCAATCCAGGTAATCAACACGCTCTGGCTGTGTCTACACTGGCACCTTTTTCCAGAAATGCTTAAAACGAAACAGTTTTCCGTTATAAGTATTTCCGGAAAAAGAGCGTCTACATTGGCAGGCTGCTTTTCTGGAAAAGCCCTTTTTCCGGAAAAGCGTCCGTGGCCAATGTAGACGTGCTTTTCCGCAAAAAAGCCCCGATCGTCATTTTCGCGATCGGGGCTTTTTTGCGGAAAAGACTACTGTGCTGTCTACACTGGCCCTTTTCCGGAACAGTTTTCCGGAAAAAGGACTTTTGCCCGAGCGGGAGCAGCATAGTTTTTCCGGAAAAGCAGCTGATTTTATACAGTAGATCGTCAGTGCTTTTCTGGAAATTCAAGGGGCCAGTGTAGACAGCTCGCAGCTTATTCCGGAAAAGCGGCTGATTTTCCAGAATAAGTGGCCCAGTGTAGACACCGCCTCTGTGTCTGTGCAAGGACCTTAGTGGCAGCCCCTTAAGAGATGGGCTGGTTTCGCAACACAAATTGGAAACAGCTCTACCAGCACCGCTTGTATGTATTGAACGTTCCTTCCTTCCTACAGAGCTGTAACACAGCAGCTGCTCTGGATGCAGCCAGGCCCGGTGCTTGGACCCGCTATCGCCCTGCTCCCATCACTCGTTCGCTTTATCACACGGGGCAAACTTCTGCCTGAATTCAGCAGGTTCAACTCCCATGGGAATCTGCGGGTGATGATACAAACCGTGATGTATGTGACCTGGTGACAAAGGCCTGGTGAGCCTTTGGTGGTTAGTGCACAGTGAAGCGGCGAGTGGTGAGATAAAGAGGATCTGGATAGAAATGATCTGAAACGTGGTGTGAACAAAACCTTCAGTTTACACCAATGAGCCCTTCTCTCGGACTTCGAAATCAGTGAACTGAGGAGACAGAATTCCCAAGGCCCTTGTGGTTCTGGATTGAGTCTTTTATTCAGCAAAAGAGAGAACGCTGCAGACTCAGAGGAGTGAACGGGAACGTTAAACACGGTCTCCCTCCTTTTCCAGGCCGAGGACTGAACTTTTAATGCCAGATCCCCATGGTGGTTTCTACGTCTGTGACGTGCTGTTGGCACAGAGGAATTTTCAATGAAGTGTAATCATCCAGGTGTGTCGGTTTGGCTATTTGGCCACATGGGGAGGTATCTGATGTTGTTACATGTTGTCAGACAGGGTCAAACCATTTACACCCAACTGGCGTTTGAGTCAAAGGCTCACGAGCAAGGAGCAGAGACGAGTGAAAGCGAAAAAGGGGAAGCTGTCGCTCTCAGGAGGATCCAAGCCTAGATGCTCGCAGCTGTTTCACAGCTGATCTCAGTGACTGTAGCCAGCCAGTAAGGGGTTGGCTGCCTGTAACGGCTGTTGGTTTCTTTTTACTGTAGCTTTCGGCTCTGCATGTGGCTCCCTTCTAAAAGGTAACTGAAAATTAACCCACTGGTCCATGTAGACTTTCAACAGCAGGAAGTCAGATACAGACCCAGACCGACCCTTGAAGGTTGGGAGATTTCCTAGTGAGATATGCAGGCACCTTGGCCACATGTATGTGTGTTTATCGACAACGCCTGCCCCTTTGAGGGAGGGGAGGGTCCCACACAGCCGAAGCAGCCAGTGCAGAGTCACGTCCTAAGGGGCGCAGGAGTGCGGGAGCCTGTGTGTGGCTTACACGCTCCCTGTGCGCCCCGGAGCTCAGCTCTCTGCTCAGTGTGACCAAAGCGTGGGGAGGGGGATGGCAAGGAGTGACTCTACCGCCCTCCCCCCCATTCCTCTGGACAACAGCCCTTGTGAGGTTGGGGGCCGGGGCTATGGAGTCTGCTCCAGCCCTGACGTTGGAACGGCAGGGCGAAGAACGGGCCCACACCGTTCACTG